GTGGAGTTTTCTTTTAATGTTTATGATTTTTGTTTTCAACTTTTTTCAGTTTTGAGAGTACATAGTGTCCAGATCATTAAGGAAACCTGGTACATTGTCTGTATGGGGTTTAAAAGAAATCTAAAGTCTGGTTATAGTTTAGTGTAAAATTGTTTTTATTGTCTTCAAACATTTGTTACAATGGCCACCAAGATCTTCAGATTTGACTCCGTTAGACTCTTTTTATGGGGATATTTGACGAGCAAAGTGTAAAAAAGTCGACTAAATAATGTTGAAGAGTTAAAAGAGTGCATCAGAATGGAAATTGCACAAATAACTCCTGAGATGTAGAAAACGTTAAGAAAGAATTTACTGCCGGTCTTTTTCATTGCATCATTGCAGTTATTATAAGTTATAACAGTTTTTGTTAGTCCTGTAGAAAAAATATTCAAATAATTACAAATAGTTCGCGAATTAAATATTAGATCGAAAAATTGAAGAACACCTGTTTAGTATTTCTCTAAAATCCATCGAACAACACCAAACTCAACCACCAGTCATACCCTCTAGCGCGGGAAGGGGACAACTTTAAAATTCTAAATGAAAATCTTCATTTTTTACATCTTTTTATTCTAGATATGGATTCCTTATAAAAAAATACGTAACTTTTATTTGAGACATTGTTTCGAATCATTGATAGATGGCGTCTTAATCGAAAAAAAAAAACGATTTATTGTGATACCCTAGAAAAAAAAATGGTTTAATATCTCAAGAAATGCACTTCAAAATGAAAAACTAAAAAACACGTATTTAATATTATTTTAAAATCTATCGAATGGCACCAAAGTGACCCCCTCTACTTCCTGGGGTTAAGCAACTTTGAAATCTTAAATAGGAACCCCCATTTTTTATTGCAGATTCTGATTTTACAAAATATTCTTAACAAACCGTATTCAGTACCATAAAAATTATATTAAAGACTTCTAATATACATAGTATTCTAGTATATACTTTTCTGTAATCACAGCGCCATCTATCACGAATTGAAAAAAAAAATAGATAAAACTTGTTTACTTTTTCAGGTAGAATTCTAATCTGCAATAAAAAAAATGTAGTTATTATATTAGATGTCAAAATTGCACCCTGCCTCAACACCAGATATTAGGGGTGCGGAATCGTTTTTCATGCCGTTCGATAGATTTTTAAAAACTATTAATGTTTTTCATGATAATTTTGTTTGCGATTATAACGCCATCTATCAACAATTCGTTAAGATGTTCTTTTATAAAAGGTACTTATTTAATTAGGAGGAATTCAAATCTGTAATAACAAATGGGAGTTTCCTTTTAAAATTTTGAAGATGCCCCTTCCCAGCACCATAGGGTGAGGCTGGGTGGTCGCGTTTGGTATCATTCGATAGATTTTTGAAAAGTATTGATTTCAATTTTTCGATCCAATGTTTAATTCGCGAAATATTCGACTGTTCCGCTTCTTTGAACACACCCGTATATATTATCATCATTATCATTATTCTCAGATTATGGTGCAGCTTCCGTTACATAGTCGTTCTTCATTTCTGCCCACGATTGTCTATTATTCGCTTTTCTGGGTCATGTTGTACAGGCTTGTTTCCTTATGTTATGATCCCATTTTAAATTTGGACGCCTTCTTGGTCTCTTAACGCCTCTTGGATCCCACAGTGTAATTCTAGTGGACCATCTATTGTCAGTTCTTCTTACTAAATGTCCCGCTTACTGCCATTTGAAAGATTTGTGAATTACATCAGTGACTTTGGTTTTCTGTCTGATTAATTCTATTCTTTTTCGAGCTCTCTTTGTTACAGGTAGGCATCGCTCCAACGACCTTTGAGAGATTTCTATATTATCTAGAGAGAGTTTCTATATTATCTCTTTTCTTTAGTGTCCAAGTTTCGCAGCCATATGTCATAATTAGTGGTATACACTGATCGATGGCTTTTTTCTTCAGATGAAGTGGCATCTTCGATTTAAATATAACTGTATTTCTTCTTCCTCTTAGGGTGCCTGTCCGTTCCGAACATTGGCTTTTGTTGGTTGCTATACGAAATAGCTGTGTTATTTTAACTTCGTTTAAATTATAATATCATATAACTGTTTCACAAGTCTATTGAAACTCAGTGGCGGCTCGCTAGTCTCGAAAGAGGTAAAGGAAATCCTGTAATAAAATCAAATTATTTTAATTTCACTTGTTTATTAACTTTCTGTTTTTTTTTGTATTTTCTTCTTAAAAGTTGGCTCAATATTTGTAATCTTTATTCTCCATTTTAAATTTTTACTTCTTTTTCCTAGGGTGCCTGTCCGTTCTGAACGTTTTTCGATCATTCTGGCTATGATGATTTTATTAGTTACTATACGAAATAGCTGTGTTGAGGTCTTTCTATACCATGCTCTCAGGTTAGCAAGCCAGGATATTCTTCTTCGTCCTGGGGCTCTTTTTCCTTCAATTTTACCCTGCAAAATGCATTGGAGTAGCTCGTATCTGCCTTGATTTCTCATAATATGTCCCAAGTACTCCAGCTTACGGCTCTTCACAATATTGATCAAATCCGCGGTTGTTTCCATCCTCCACAGTACTTCTTCATTGGTGACTTTGTCTGTCCATGGTATCTTCAGGATTCTTCTGTATAACCATAATTCAAACGCCTGCAGTTCTATCAAAAGAAAATAGAATGTTTCACTTGTTGTTTGAGGTTAGTTATTTTTTGGACCATATACTACAATTATGTTCAGATCCTCCTTCTTTATTTTTATCTTTGTTGTTACAATGGTTTTTAGCTCTGTTTTTCTTTGCTACTCCACTGTAGTTCAGGATAAATTCACCTACCTTTAAATATCTCTTTTCTGTAGTGTGCATATATCTAGTTGTTTCTCTTTCAACATATGTTATTTCTTAGTTTTTTTGTAATGAGCGATCTAATGTTCCACGTAGTATCTCTCATTTGTTCTTCTGCTTCTTCTCGTAGCACTACAACCTGGGATGGGTTTTCGCTTACTGCACAACTTGCTTCCATCTTGAACGGTCGTCCATAATAGTTGGGTCCATGGTTTGTTGGACCATTGTGGACGTCCTAAGGGCCTTCTTCCTGTGGAGGCTTCCTTCCATATTAACTTGACAAGGCGGTTATTAGGGAGCCTATGCCTATGGCCAGCTCATCTTAGACGTTGGGGCTTAATCTATTGGACTATGTCTCTCTCTCACTCTCTCTATACTATCTGCTTGACCTCAGCATTTTTTCTTATTCGATATTGGTTGCTATTAATGTCGTGATAAGGCACAAAGATTCTTCGGATGATTTTCCTCTCAAAACATCTAAGTTTTCTTTCAGTTTCTTTGGTAGGGGGTCCACGTCTCACACCCATACGTGAGAACCGGTCTAATCACCGTTTTATAAATTTTAATCTTTGATGCTCGTGTTAGGCTTTTAGTTAGATTTAATAGTATTGTGGAGGTTGTACATACATCTGTTTGCTTCCTTAATTCTTCTTGTAATCTCTTCCGCGATATCGTTATCTGCAGTGATTGTTGCTCCAAGATATTTAAAACTCTCCACTCTTAAAAAGTTATATGGGTCTATTGTAACATTTTAGCCTATTCTATCTCGTACCTTTTGTCTGTTTATGCACATGTATTTGGTTTTCTCTTCGTTTATCCTAAAACCACGTTTTTTGCCTATACCTTCAATTTATTAAAAGTCTCCTTCACATTGGTGACTGTGTTTCCCACAATGTTAATGTCATCTGCGTGTGCTAGTAGTAATTTTGGTCCATTTAATGTCAGTAATTATGTTTTAAGTTGTGCTGCTCTTACTACTTTTTCCTGATGATATTAAAAAGAAGATGTGACAGAGCATCTCCTTGTTTCAGGCCACTGCTTATTTCTAAAGATTTAGAGAGTTTGTTACCTATCCGTACTCTTGATCTACAGCTTTTCACACATAACTTTTTGGAACTGAAAGTTCTGCCATTGCACTCCACATCTGATCCCTTTTAATGCTGTCGTACACTTGCCGGAAATCTATGAAGAGATTATGAATAATTCTATTGAAATCTCATCCTTTTTCAAGCAGCTGTGTTAGAGTAAAGATCTGATCTATGGTCGATCTATGTTTTCTGAAGCCAGCTTTGTATTCCCCCATGAAATTTTCTACACACGGTGTGAACCTACTTATATAGGATGTACGATAAGATTTTATATGCTGTATTAAGTAGGGAAATGCCTGTATAATTAGAGCACTTGGTTTTGTCTCCCTTTTTATGAATTGGGATTATTACACTTTCCTGCCATTTTGTTGGTATTTTCTCTACGTTCCATATAAGTGTTATTAGTTTGCGTATTTGTCTCTGTAGAGTTTCTCCTCCGTACTTAAGGAATTCAGCAAGTATATTGCCAGATTCTTTATTTAATTTCACGGAATAACTTCATAAATTGCTCTGGATATTGCTAGAATCATTTCAAATTGTGAACATATATGCTTTTAAAAAGCGTTGTAAGATGTTTAATTCGGGTATGGTTTTAGACGACAAAGGAAAAAAGAAAAGAAAAAAGTGAGAAGACAGAAAAAATATATATGTCAAACACTGTACAACAAAGGAGAATGTGTTGTATAAGTAAAAATAAAGTATATTGTCAGAGCCTGGAGCTTTTCCGTTCTTCAATTTGTTAATTATTTGCAATGTTTCATCTATTTTGGGGTCCTCTACCAGTAGATCCACACCAAAATATATATTTTCTCCATGTTCTTCCTCTTGATGTATGTCTCTCATCTGGGTTTAAAATATTTTTCTCTTTTTGGTTTCTTAAAAAATTTGGTTTCGAAGCCTCACATTGTTGCTTTGAGCAGTAGTCGTTTTTACGCTTGGTAGGTTGCTAACCTTGGCAATCACCATTCACATTTTATCCGGGCTTGGGACCGGCTGTGATAACTGCAGAGCTACTCGATCAACCCTGCAATTACCACAGGTAGTGTTTGAATAAAAATCATGAATAATAAATATTTTATTATAGTCTAGAATATATCACAGATTATTATAGTATCGATATTATCAAATACCTTTAATAAAACTTTTTACTCTTCAAAGACTGCTGAATTTCTTCTAGAGTTAAACCTCTAGTTTCCGGTATTATAAAATAGGTTATTATTGCAGACAAAATATTACAAACTGAAAAAACGTAAAAAGGTGCAAAAAATCCAGCACTGGTGTTGATCAAATAAAACATATAATTGATGAAGCTTCCACCTGCTCCAAAGACTAACACATTCACAACCATTGCTTTGGTTTTAATACTGACAGAGAAAAGCTCACTTAACATAAGTGTAGGAATGACGGTCAAACCAAATGAAGCAAAAATTTGATATGTAATCATGCTGGCAATTGGAAACCAATTAAAACTTGAAACATCGATGTTGGTATAATCATTGAGGTAAAAAAAGGTTGCCATGCAAAATAATATTACACCATTACTAGCAGTACTAGTGATGTAGAATACTCTACGTCCAAATCTGTGCATGACAAACGTCAGAACTAGAAGGTTCAAAACCATTTGAACGCCTGTGTATATTATAGAAGACACTTCATGGCTTAAGTTTCCTCCAGATTTTTGGAAAATAAATTGTGTAAAAGTTATAAAAATACAAAGACCAGAAGTGTGTTGTGAGAATCGCAAAAAAGTTCCTGCTAACAAAGCCCTTCTATTACTTTTTATTTTAAACAAGTCTCCCCACGTTCCTGATTCTGACATTTGTCGCTGAACATCAAGTTTTAATTGGTTTAAATTTTCTTCAATATTTTTTTCTCCCCTAAAATATACTAAAGACTTTCTTGCTTCTTCTTCTTTCCCCTTGATTAAGTAATAATAAGGAGTTTCGGGTACCCATAAAAATAAAATGAAGAATATAATAGGAATTGGCAAACATATGTAAGAAGTTACCACAACTCCACAGTAACTGCCAATGACGTTAATTAAAAATTCTCCTATATAGTAAGAACCTGCAAGCAAATTACCCCACTTGTCCCTTACTGCAGGCGTTGTAATTTCTCCGACATAAGGGGGTAGGGCTGAAAAGAATAGTCCATCTGCAATTCCTGCAAAGGCTCTTGATACGTAGAACATATAAACATCCTTTGCAAATGCAGCGAACAGCCAACTAGCTACCTGAGGAAATGCAATCAGGAGAAGTGTCTTTTTGCGGCCGAGACCATCGGTAAGTATAGCACAGAATGGGCAGATAAGGAGGGTAAAAATTGGATTAATTGTATTAAAATATGATGCTTCTTGTTCTGAGATGTTGTATTTTTCCTTGTCGTTGACTATTTGAACCATAAATGGTGATGCCCATGCAAAGAATTGTCCGTTGGTTATGCCCACCATAGTACCTAAAACGAAAATTCAATGGTTAATACATTAATAAATTAATAATTAATAACAAAATTAAGTACAAAAATGTAGTTTTGAGAAATTATTAAGTAGGATTTAACAAAATAACGTAATAGTGTAACAAGTAACACAGAAAGAATTTGGCAAAAAAGAGTAACTGATTTATCAATGAACGTCATAATATAATGTTATGAAAAATCAGTAATAATAAGCTAATTAATATCGCACAAAGAGCTAATCGAGAAAACTATAGCTAAAAGGAAAACGTACCTAAACAAATTATGAAATACAAGAAAAGGGAACAAAATTGATATAATTATGAATAAGATAGACAAAAAAGTATTAAGTAATTACAAATATAATAAAAATAAACAGGATAATATCAGTTCAATATATCATCCTGCTCCTCATACCTCCAGCCTTTGTGATATTATAAATATTTAAAAACTTTTTTAATTTTAAACATATATATTGTTAGCTTGGAGACTGGAGATCTTCTTCTTTGTCTTTGGCCTCCTACCTTTTCTTCTACTACCAATAGTTCCATAGTCCTCGTTCTTCTGGCTATGTGAAAGAAGTAATCAGGTAAGCTAAGTTTATATTTTTAGTAGCCTGTCTTTTATACTAAGCTCTTCCAGAATTGACAGCTTGGTTTTTCTGTTCTGTCCAGGACACGCGTAGAATTGTTCTGTAGACCTAAATTTCGACGGCTTCGATATTACTTCTAGCGACATTTTTGAGAATTCATGTTTCAGCTGCGTATGTAGCGATGAGAAAAAGTAAGGGCATGGGCCAACTTGAACTTTCTTATTTAGACCTGAGTATTCCTTTGAATAGATATATTCCTTACAAAAGAATCTCACGAATCTTCAACAACGTAATAATCATCTTCAAATAACGTAATAATTGGAACATTTGCAGATGACATTAACATTAATAAACTTAATTTAAATACAGGTGTCTACGATCCTGTGATATCTGATCATTTAGGTATATCTGCTATTTAAGTAGTTTAAAATATTAAGAACTTTGTGGAAAAAATTAAATCCAAAGATTGGACTATGTTTGACTGAACACTGTAATTCAACCAACATGCCAGAGTTGTTTATGAGATATATGTGTGAAGAATACAGCATTTATTTTTATTTATAGAACGCGAATAGCAGAAAACGTCCTACTATTCATTGGTTTAATCGCAAACTTCGAAATGTAAGAAAACAACTCTACGATTGTAAAGCAACTTATAGAAAAACACATATTACTGAAAATTGGATTAAATATTTTCAAATGCGAAGGAAATACAAGCAAGCAATAAAAACGTACTGCTTATGCTAACATAATAAACAAATCCACTAACAAAAGTGTGACGATATGGAGTATTGTTAAAAAAGAAACCTATAAGAAAAATACTTCATATCCAATCTCTTCAAGAAGAGATTAAGCAATACTTGCTTAATCTCTATATTTATGAGTATACATATATAGGCAAAGTGGTTTATATAAAAATCTTTGTTTTTTTCTAAAAACTCAATATTTCGCTATTTATTTTTTAGCATCGTCAGGAGTAAATTAAAACAAAAAATGGCGTACAAATACATTTTGAAAAAAACTTACAGAAATTAAAAGGTTTCATAAATGAAAACTGACATAGCACGTTCATTGCAGCAATACGATAAAAAAAAATTAAAATTACTTCAAATGTAAATGATGTCAAAATAGTTACATTGGCCAAACATCACAATGGTTAAAACAATGCATCACCCAACATAAAAGTAATTGCCGCTTGGGAAAAAATACTTGTGCAGTAGTTGAGCACTATGAAAACACCGGTCATACGCTAGATCATTAGAAAACTCACATTTTGGCACAGGCTAATAATTACAAAAGTAGACTATTTCTTGAAATGTATCACATTAACAAAAATAAAAACACTTTAAATTATAAATCGGACACTGGACAGTTAAGCAACATATATTGTAATATATTAAACACAATTTATAAATATTCAAATAGCGAACATTCACCTTAATAACAACTAACCTTAATAACTCATCAAAGAAATATCATTCTTCTAATGTTTCTTTTGTTATTTTTATTTTTGAAGTAATTTGTTTTAGTGTACTTCTGATGATGGTAAAAAATAAAATAACGAAATATTGAGTTTTTAGAAGAAACAAGGATTTTTAAATAGAACACTTTACCTGATAATTTCGTACGTATTTATAAACTATTTTTTGGTCGAAATAATCACTTGAAGTATGTATATATATATATATATATATATATATATATATATATATATATATATATACATAACATTTACTTTGAGATGATAAACACCACCACTCGCATATACAACCAAATACCTTGCGTTACACCTGGACCAAACCCTGTGTGGGAAGGAACACATCAGCAAAAAAAAAGCAAACAAAAAATAAAATACAACTCAGATAAAAAGAAATCAATTGGTTAATTGGAGAAAACCCAAAGCTGTCCATACAGAATAAAATTTTAATTTATAAAACAGTTATTAAATCAATATGGACATATGGCAGATGACAGATATGACAGATCTGTGGGGCTGTAGTAGTAAATCCAACATTGCTATAATGGAAAGATGTCAATCAAAAATCGTAAGAGCAATTATTGACACACCCTGGTAACCAACCAAAGAATCTATGGGGATCCCAACATCTCAACAGAAAAAGAAGTAATCCAGCAAAAGAAACCACAATACACATACTCTAATCCATTAATTTCCACAATACCTCAACATCAGAAGACTAAGGCGACGTTGGCCAACAGACCAGTAACATAAACATGTGATTTTTTCACTGCAGATCACACAAGACCACATCACACAAGAATCAAAAATCGAGTGACACGACCTAAACTCATCACATTAACTAGAATAAATTTTTATATTCTGATTGTCAATTTATTCGTTATAATAAGAAAATAAATATATATACAACAACAGTAAAGACAAATTCAGAAATGACCAAAATAAAACAACTAAACTAAGAATCCATAATAAGTAAAATAACCAGAAAACAATTGGAATGGTTTGAGCATGTACAGAGGATATGAAATGAAAGATGGCTAAAGAAATTATTAGAAACTAAAGGAGTAAAGCAATGAAAGAGAGGACGGCCTATAAATAGCTAGATAAAGTAAATGATAAAAGCAGGTAAAGCCAAAGGGATAAACTACACATATATGAAAATGATATTAGGAAACAAAGAAGAATAAAAAGAGACTCAGATATTCTAGCGAGTAAAAGGAGTTTATAAAACAAAAAAAAAGAAGAAGACTCAAAGACTCTATTGGTAAATTTCGACCTTGTATAAGCATAACAAGTGAATTCGGCCTTGTATAAGGATAAATATAAAAATAATAGTATTTAAATGTAGGACTGAATAAAGTATGAGAATAAAGAAAGTCATAAAACATATCGCAGTTGGTCAACAAAAAACATAACTGGAGTAGAAAAGTGGAAAATTTTAAATATCTAGCGTTAGAAGAATGGAAGGTATCAAGAAACCACAAATTAACGAAAGGCTACATTATTATCAATTTAATGAATTTGACACCTAAAATATCGACAAGAACTATAAAAGAAAGACTAAAACAATTCCAACAGAAATAATATTGAAAATAGTGACGAAAAATAGTAGGAAACGCACTAGCAATTGTTAAAAAAAACGTGAATGGATTTCCACGTGAACATGCAATATTAAAAGAAATATGAAGCCTACGAACTTTGAACCACGAAATCTGTAAATTTTTATTTGGATAATAAAAATATATAGTGTATAAAGATGGTACTAGATTATAAAAATTATAGATTTTTATTTAGATCTATAAAATTATAGATTATTATAAAAATATATAGATTTGTCCAAAGTCAAAATTTCAAATTAAGTAACCGAGTTATTTAAAAACAATCACAACATAAAATATGTAGGTAGTTTATGAATATTACTTACTTATTAGAATGGCATAAATCTGTGGCCATGTCTTTTCCTGTTCATCTTTTAAAGTTTTGTTGTTTTCAACTTTCACCACAACCATTTTGATCTTTTATTTCTGCTTTAAATCCTATAATAAAAGTTTCATTGATATGAGTGTGTATAAAGTGTCAATTACTATCTGTAGGTCTCGTAGATTTGACTCTCTTTTTATGGTAAAACTAACTGTTTATTTTTTTAAGAAGATAAGAAACGTAAGTAAAACAAACATAGTAGTACAGTATCAAAATGTTAAGTAACTCTGCCAGTAACAATTACATCACAGTCGTTGAAGGGATCAAAATATTTAAAAAATGATTTACATTATTAATCTCATATTAACTGAAAAAATGTTACAAATAATTGCAGAAAAAGTTAAAATAGATAATATACCAATATGCTACAAGTTTATAACGTTAAGGTAATTCTATTTTCCACCTTTCGATCCATTTTTTGTACTGTCGATAAAAATTTATTTTTTCTTTTTTCTGGCCTTGATTGATAAATTGATTCTGTTTAGTGTGGCAAGTACAGTGGGAAACTGTTAAATGTGGCAGAAAAAAGATTTTCCCATTTTATGGCGAACTAAGATTACTTTAATGTAACTAGAGTTCAGGCTACTGTGGCGTTCACCTACAACTTGATAAGTAATTTCCAGATAGGAATGCCGAACACTGTGAACTTTTAATATTAAATCCTGTGGCTAATACACTATGTCTAAGGCCATCTTTTTCCTCTACCGAATGTTGCCGAGACGATGATGCCGTCTGATAACAATGTGTCATTCTTGCGATAACACATATCAGGCTAAAGCGATACGGAAATAAGGAAATGCGCTTGTAGATATTTACGAGGATTAGCTGGTGAGTACTATTATACTAGATTTCTGCGTTATTGGTTTACTTTTTTTATGTGAAACATCTAATGTGGCTGGATAGGTGGGCATAATACATATGTGAAGGGTTGTCTATGGTCCCAACTCTTCGATTTTATCTCTAGTTTATGCGGTGTTGATATTATTTGGACCACGTTCACGTTGCATATTTCGAAAAACGTTCTGTTTTTGGAAAGGGCAGTAAAAAGTTCTTTCCGGAGTTATGAGATTTAAAAAACGGCTTTAAACCAATAATTGTAACTGGAGGTGTCATGAAGAATGACGAATAATGACCCGTAGAAGGTAATTTATTGGGTTGCTAAACATGTATTCAGATAAAGCCAGGCGAGAATATATGTATTTATCATTTGGCAATTTTTTGATGGATCATTTGTAAAATAGAATCAATCAAATTGACCATGGAAGAAGAAACAACTTACTATCTTTTCTGGATGTAGTAATCACAAAAATATTGTACAGGATATGTAACCAATTTCTTTAGAAAATCAACCGGCACAAACAGATATTGAAATAGTCACTCAAACCATAACATCAATATAAAAAATGAAATCACCAAATCACTATATGATAGAGGCTAAAACACATGCTCTATAAAGGAAAATGCAATGCAGCATCAAGAAAACCTGCTAACGAAGGTCTTAACAAAAAAATAACTATCCATTGTCATTTTATGAAAAAGGAATTTCACAGGATTGAAAAAAGGAAACAACAAAACACAGTCATTTTATTCCACCATTCCCTGTATATATTTGAGAACTTTTTTTAAAAAATTTTGTGACTTAAATTAGTAACTCCACCGAAATTTAATTGTCAGAATGTTTTGCATGAAATATTTCAACATTCAGCGTTTAAATACTAACTTATATGAATATATTTACTAAGATATATTTAACATTTGTACAAATCCTTTTGCAGTGATAAGATTCCTAACATTTTTTAATTGTGTTTTCATCTTTATAAGTTGATTAAAGATATTACATATCTTATTTTTTTTACAATTAGTATTAAATATTTATTTTCAGATATCTGCATATTCGAACTTATAAGTAAGGTTATTGTCGTTATCAAACGTCCATTTATTTATTTTTGCTTAGTTATTTTGAACCATGGATTATTCGTGAAACCCTTGGGATCTTAAACATCCCAATATACTTAACAAAAGGAATGATAGCGCACAATTATTTTCAACATGAATTCCTTAACTAATATCACATTTATATAGTGGACCTTCTCCTACAATTGTTATAATAACTGTTTGTTGAAAAATATATACATATGTATTCAAACTACGAAAAAGGAATAAATATTTAAATGATACGAAAATGACACTAACCAGGACTAATCCTAGCACTAAAAATTGTAGTTAATTCTCATTAAATATAGTAGATTTGTCACAGGAAAATATTTTCAACCATAAAACACGTTTAATTTATATAAATATAAATTTTTCTGTACCACCCTGTTCTGTCCCTACAGTATATTTTTCCGGTAAAGTTATCGCCTTTAAATGAAACCCAAAATAGATTTTCTTCTATTTCTGTGTTTAAGTGGCTTTTGTGTATAACGAATGTTCCAGACTGTAGCAGGCTGGAAGTTGAATTTCCCATAGGAAATAGAAATATGGCGAAGGAGAGGATCGTTGAAAATTATTGTTTGCAGGTAATTTGCAGCAGTAATGGTGATGTCTTTTAACTAAAAGCTTCATGGTCTATGAAATATGTTGCATAAAATTAACTATAGGCAAGTTTATATATGTTAAATCACTAACTTCTTGATTGACTTTTTAAAAAGATTTATTTCACAAATAAAAGTTACACTTAGTTATACGATAAAATGAAGCAAATAAAATTATATAATACAAATGTTATTAGTAAGAAACTTATATGACGAGTGAAAAATATAATGTTAGTCCTGAATTTATAATCTATCTACAAAATGTGGTGTCGGCATTTCCCACGAAAGGCCAGCTTTGGTCAGAGTTTGATGTCCGTGCATAGTCAGCTATCTCTATGGGAACGCTTGCTAAAAGAATGATGAAATAGGAACTGATATTGCGAAACCAAAGTGTCGGTAACCCTTGAGTGGTTCAAGGTGACTATTTTCACATATAACAGCTCCCCTCATTAGTGAAAAGTCGATGCCTTGCTTCGACTTTTAAAGCTCAATTGGGGTTTCGGAGACGTCTTCATTTTCTGGGCGTACGTCTGGTCTTCTTTTAAAGGTTAATCCTTTAAGTTTCTGTTTAATGGAACTGCTGCGATGTGGTGAAGGTGGAGGTGAGTCCTGAGGGTAGTTCATGGCAAGTCTTGGAAATCTTTTGCGTCTACATTTGCAGAGGATGTATACAAAAACTAGAATGATAATTAATGATAAAGACAATATAGTGAACCAAGGCAAATGTTTTTCGATGAATGGTTGGTTCATGATTTGGTCGAGTTCTTCTGAATATTGGTCCAGCTTATGTTGTGCAATATTTAAATCGTCTGTATTTATCTTATTGAGTTTTAATGGTTTTAAATTTGGTATATGGTTTCTTCTTCCGAAATGGTCACAACATCTGTATGGAATATTAACTGGATGACTTCTGTAGGTTATATTTGGATATTTATTGATTTGATCTCTGGCGTGGACTCTGGTACTTCCAATAAATGCTGTACATTCGGGTAGTAATCTTAAAATTGTGTTTACTTTGATTGTCTGGGTACTAATGTCTTTTCTTTCACACTTGATTGTAACTGGTAATGGATCGGATACTGTTATTAACCATAAATTTCGGTCAATTTCTTGCACATTGTAATCTTGTGCTAAAAACGTCGACATCTGACAAGTTTTTGGTAGAAAGCTAACTGGTTTCAATAACTGTGCCTCACATATAGTATCGCTGTCTATTGGATAGGGAAGAATATCTGTGCACATTCTTTGATTTGGACTAATTGATTTGCATTCTTCTGTGTTTCGGGGTAATACATATGAAATTGAATCATCATCTCGCGCTATATACTTATGTATTGTAGAGAGTGTATGAAAAAGACCAGTTTGATTATCTAATATTGGTATCGAATATAGATGATATAAGGTATAGATTTCGGGGTCGACTAATGGAATTTCTAGGACGAATACAATTTTGGAATCGAGTTGATATGCTTGAAGTTTTATTATATCAATATATTGGGCTATATTTGATGTATAAATGGGCAATGGTAATACATTATTTTGTAATGATTGTGAGATAGTTTTCAATGAATCTAGTAAATCATTGGGCGAAATAATTGAACTGTGTAAAATTTGCAACCGAGAAAAGGTGATGGCGTTCAAAATGTCATTGAGATAATTTTCTAAAAATATGTAGCTTTCCATTAATGATTCACACAAATTTAAGGTTTGTAATTGTGCACGGTAAAATGATATGTCGTCTGCAATGTCTATAAGAGTGGTTTCGATATCGTTTAGGTCTTTGTTAAAAGTTTGTTCGTCTATTTGTAATTTTTGGATAGTAGTGTTAAAAGATTTTATGACAGAAGTTGTAACAGAGATTTGGTTCTTTAGGAGTGTTTCTATTTGCTTTTCATCTGTAGTGATCTTATTTATACATTGATTGAAATATTCACCGTCTGATGCGTCTAAATTTCCACTAATAGATTTCCATAAGGTTCCAACACCATTGATTAATCCTCGTTTTTGGCGTGGATTATAGGCTCGTGTGTCGGCAATTACTTCTCTATATTTTAAATTTACGGAATTAGAAATTTGTCTTATCAAACTAATGTGTGTTTGTACTTCGGATTGAAATGCAAGTTTTCTTGGAGTATCGGCCTTAGTAAATTTATCTAGCAAGTTTTCTAAAATTTTGTCGTTGTTGGATATGGCAGTTTCTATAGGGAGCAATTCCTTGTAAACAAGTAATGTCCATTTATCGTTAGATATTCGAATGGTACCTTCTTCGTGATAGAAGATTCCGACTGTATTATTAATGGGAGAGAGGTAAAATTGGGAGTAGGCGACTGAGAATAGTCCATAGAATCTGTAAAGAAGAAATTTATTCAAAATAAGGTTTCAGTCTGTCAAAATTTACTTTAGAGGTTTGGTTAGTTTTGGGGTTAAGGATAATTGCGGAATTTGTAAAAACCTCTTGAATTTCGAAAGGTCCATTAAAAAGATTATCTGATTTTGATTTAATTTGGGATTCTTTTACGTAAACTTTGTCACCAATTTTAAAATCAGGTCTTCGTTCTGAAATATTCTCGTCGAATC